CCTATAATTAAAGGTGAAATCCACTTTATTTCTATCCTTGAATTACCTTTAAGAGTCACGGAGTCACGGCCAAGCTAGAAGCATTGAGCATTATCGGAAGAAACAAATGAACAATGGTCATATTTCTATCTTTTAAATAATAAGAAATCAAAAAATTTGAAATTTTGAACAAAAATTAAAATAAAAAAAGTTATTATTTCATTGTCATAAAATATATCTTCTAAATAAATGTAAAAGTAAATAAAAATCAAAAACGTTTCTATAAGCCAAAAAATTCAGAAGTTTTTTAGTAATTCTGACAGGTCTTCGCAAAAACGATACATTTTTAATTTATTAATACATTAATCTTTAGATGCAAATAATAATATGTAAATCAACTAATATATAAATGAATTTCTAATAAATTTGCTTCTTATTAAAGCCATTTTAAAAACAACTGAAGTCATTATAAGCTGATGGTTTGAAGATGAAACTTTTTCTCGTTTTTTAAATTATTTAGCTAATATTTCGTTTAATAAACTTCAACCGAGAGAAATTCTATTGAGTAAAGTTATTAAAGTTTTATTACTATTTAAAAATCAAATAATTTTTTAAATTAATATAGTAAAAATACTTTGACCAAAGTGAGAGATTTTTGTTTTTTAAATAATTTTTTATGCGTATTTTTTGAACGAATCGACTAATCCTTAATAATTTTGCGCATTAAATTCGCTAAATTTGTCTGCTTATTTAATGGATGATTTCTAATGAAAATGGCTTAATTTCCACACCAAATTAGCCATTTGAATTTTTCATATCATAAACATCGCTTTATAAAAATTGCCTTCGAAGTTTAAAAATAATAATTTTAATTAGTTTTTTTAACTAAAATTGAATGTTTTTGAATTGTAAATGAGTATCTCAAATGTTATTTCTATTATTAATAATGGTAACATTGGGTTTTGAATGGCATAGAGTTTTCATATGAGTAAGTTGGTACTCTCATTTCGTTACTGGGGTTTTATTTCCAATAGAAGTAAATTTATTGTCCAGACGAAGTAGACTCTGCACTAACTACTACCAATATTACCAATCGATAAAAATTTCCCTGGCAAAATTTTTTGGATTTGAAAAGCGGAACAAGCCTAACAAGTGAGTGGGTTTTAATAGCTTATTTTCCATACAAGTGGGTTAATGCTCTCATTTTTTGGAGAAAAATAAACAATAATATTATTAATAATAATAATTTATAATAATAATAATAAATGTTAATAATAATATTGAGAATTGGACAATTTTAATTTATTCGAAGGTAAATAGAGGCTTGAAAATGAAAACAAGTTCGAAAATCGTTGTGGTTCTTGATTATTGTTGTTTTTCTCAAATATTCTCTCATTTCATTAACTAGTCGTCAATTAGCAATGCATATCATATTTTACATGCAGCACTATATAAGCAAAAAATTCGATTATTTATTTTTTAATTATTATGATCGATCAAGAAAAATGGTTTTTGAACGAATTCGTAACAAATTCAAAATTAATAGCGGTAATTGTTCTCATAGAAAATTACTGCAACAAAGACCACAAAGCGTTGTTTTTATTGGTTTAAGCCCCAAACAAATTTAAATAACATATAATTAAATGAAAAAAAAAGTTTGTAAGTAAGAGTTTTATTCACAAAACAATTTTTATTCTTTGTAGATGCGTTATTTAACTCATTTTTCTGTTTCAATTCTGATTTTGGGCCGTTCGGTCTTTAGTTTAATTTACAGCCCACCAAGATTGCTTCTGCCTTCGATACCACAGGAATTTACGTCTTTATTATGGATAATGTCAAAAACTTGGAGGACCAATCAAGATCTGGAACGACACGATCACGAGAAATTTTGACACATAGTCAGCCCACCGGTATACGGGCTTAGATGGTAGAAAAATGAGTGGCTTCAATTCACGACTGTCGGATTGGGAGGCTTTGAAAAGTCTTCGTTATCAGTGGAGTAAGCCGAACCAGCAATGATACTAAAAGAGAATAATTAAATCGGCTTTAAAGTTTTTCTTCTGTAGAAATCATCGCTTATAAATACTAATTCTTTTGGTGTTTTGAAGCCTTAAGTCTTTTGCTTTTCGATTGTTATATGAGGAATGTTTTTTGAGGATTTTTGATATTAAATGACATAATAATACCAATGACATATAATTTTTGAAGGGTGGTTGAATATTTCAACATTATATCTTGGAGAATGGTGTAACTAAGAAATATCCTCGCTTTAGATTTCTCGGATAGCAGAACTTTAAATTATTTTCCATGTCCAAGGTTATCACTTTTTTTTTCGACAATAATTTTGCTATCTTTCGTTATTCTCATTTCAAGGTTTGTTCAGTTTACAAGAATAAAGATTGCTAGAAAATTTAATGCAGAAGGAAACGAGTTATCACATAATATTTACAATATAAATCATTATTTTCATTTGGCCGTAATTTTTAACAATGGCTTCAACGAATTTTTGAATAGAATTTTTAAAAGGAATTGCTAGTAATCGCGTTAATATCATCCACGCTGGTTCACGTCGAATAATTGCTAGATTTTTTTTAACGAAAAGTTTTAGGAAATATGCGAAGCATGGTTTAAATTTATTTCAAGTTGTATTGAAAACTTAACGGAAACTTTAATTGGTCTGTTAATAAGCTTCTTTTTAAAAAAAATTAAAAGATTTTGATTATTTCGTCGTTAAAAATGTTAGCGCGACCTCTTGTTTTTTTGAATAATATGGCGTTTTCAATTAGGCACATTACCAAAGCATATTGCGAAAATGTGGATAATTGCATAAGTTCCGCCTTTTTAAAAAGGCGCTAGAGCTGGATGCTTCTCAGAAGGCTCATTCTCTAATATCGACTTAGCCAACAAAACGGCTGACTGATGCATTCGTCAAAGATTGCTCAGTTTGCAAGAAGAAAGAATGCTCGAAGATTTAGTGCAGAAGGAAAACGAATTATTACATCGATGTATTCAGGTAAATCATTTCGTTATCAGCTCTATTTTATCTATGATGCGATCATTTTCTTCCGATTTCCGAATGGCCATTGGTCAGTGTATTTTTTCGAAATTTAAAAAAAACTCAAAAGTTTAGAAAACTTAATAGATTTTTTTAACGAAATCGCACGAATGGGTTACAGTTTCAACTGCATTGTTCCTTCATTGTTGAGGTGGGTGCAACGCTAACTCAAATGATAACTAACGTTCATAACAAAAAAGAAAGCATCAAAGGGAAACTAATTCGCCAGCACCAACCAGTTTTTATTTTTGATTAGTTTACTTGATTTATGAGTTAATACAATACCCCAGTTCAAATTAATTTTTATGTTGGAATTTTGTTAAGCATTTCATCTCCGATGGTATTGCACTACAACCACATTTTTTAAAGGCGATTGCACTATTCCTTAAATTTTACAAGTTTTTGTCATCCGTATCTACAATTAAGCTAATGTCATTTTTTGCTAAAGACCTCAGTGATGGAATTGATAATAGATGCCGAAGTAATAGAAAGGGACGGAATATTTCAAGCGATTTGAAGGAAAATTTTCAACTTATCAATCTATCTATTCCTTATCTCAATTATTTACTCGTAATATGCTCGCATGCATATTCAATCGTGCTTTCATGCTTGGATAACAGCTCACAATCCTGCAATTTATTTGTGATGATTTTGTTTAGAGATTGTGCAATGTTTTAACTTTTAAATTTAAGTTTTAATCTATGAAAATTTAGCAAAAATTTAAATTGCTTAATTATTAGCATAAAATAATTTTTATATTATTGTATTAGAAGATTTGAAAAGCTGAGGCGTTGAATGAATCTAAATTAAATTGATAATATCGACTAATGTAAGCATGTATAATGCATTTGGTGCTCATCTTTTTTGTTAAATTTGTTTGATACCAGACTAATTTCATAGCGGGTTGAGTAATCTCTTGGATCTGTAGATAATCCATTTCAAACTTAACGAGCTTTATTTATGGCAAATTATCTAAAATTAGACTATTTAGAAAAAAGAAATCCAAATTAGACTATTTGCGAGAAGTTTTTTGCATAGATTATTTGGCAATTCGGCTTAATATCTACTTTATAAAATGTCTCCATTAGCCCATTCGCAGTTTTATTGCATCAAAAATGCACCATAAATCAAATGCGCAATAAAATCGATGATCAACTATAAAAAAAAGATTAGCGAATATTATACCGAATAAATAAAATAAATAAAGAAAAATTTTCTATTATCTATTATAAAAATTATCTAATTAAAATTCGGTTTCCAACAGGAACAAACGTGTTAAGAAATTTGGAAGATACTGGCAACCCATATACGCCAACTGACTCCCTCGCAAAAATTTTAAACCGAATTGCTAAGGAGAAATGGCTAACCGCTTAATTTAGTTAAGCTTTCCACTTTATGTCAATAATCATTCAATAAATTCAAAAATATTTTTCAAAAACTTTTAAATTGGTAAATATATAAAAATTATAAAGGTCCCTACTTTAAAAGGTGTCATAAGAAAAAATACAAATGTACCTATGAATCACCTATGATAAAATATTAAAGATTATTGCTATTAAAAACCCATCCAAAATAAACCTCATGAAATTCAAAATAAAGGAATTTTTTTTATTCCTATTGTAGAACGTATAAATTTCTATAGAAGGCTAAGGAACAAATGGCAATCGTTTTCATGGCAAAAAGGTTTATTAAATAAAGGGTACGAAAAAAATTCATTAGGAACTAAAAAAAAGACGTTTTATCATTATACTCGATTAATAGTCTAATATTTAAATTCCATTAATTCATTTTATAGCTTAAACTGATGAATTAAAATCACTCAGAGATATATTGTGGTAAAATACTTCTATTAATAGTCAAATACATACCTCAACGAACTACAGAATAATCATTAATATTCCTTTCTTGATCTGATTTTATTGGTTTTCCATCTTCTTCTTCTTCTAACAGCTCACAACATTACTGGTTAGGTTGGATCCAAGTCTACAAGAGTAAGACATTTCCACTCGGCGCGGACTGATGCTAACGTCGACAGTAATATAAGCCATTTCTTTTTCCATCGTCTAAGTCCATATATTGCTGGTCCACCTATACGTTCAAATACTTTTCTGACCGTATCAGTCCAGATCTTGATTGGGCCACCTCGCTTCTGACGCCAACCATCACACGGTTTAGCAAGTAACGAAATATGCGTCAACTCCTGTGGTGGGCGATGGACAACATTAGAAAAGCTCAGCCCGAAGACCATCTTCTCCAGGAGTCTTATCGGCCTTAAGCTTATGGATAACGGAAATTATTTCTTCGTCTATTGGAGGCTCGCAATTGTAAGCGTATGGTTCGGCAAACGTATCAGCTATATCAGGGGTGGCCTCAAGGAATTCTTTCCATCTTATGAGGCGGTCCTTAATACTCTTGATCGGCACGATGTTGCTGTCCCTTACCATTTCATTCGTTCCTCGAGTCATAATTGCTTTATGAAGAAGGCAGAATAATTTCCTATTATCGCCTAATCGAGCCTCCATTCTTGAGGCCATGTTACTCCAATAGTGATTTCCCGCTTTGTTGCTTTGGTTGCAAATCTTTGAAGCACCCAGTAGTCAGGATCACCTGACATTCGTGCTTTGGCAGCTTTTTCAGACAGTTGGATAGTTGCTTCTGATACCCAAATAGCACATCTCCTACTAGTATGCCCTAGTGTGGAAGTGGCTGACTTTCGGAAACATTCCTTTAGTTTGGACCAGTATTCATTTGCCATTCCAGAAAAATCATATTAATATTGATATTTGATCATTGAGATGTAATTCGGTTTGCGCTCACTGTCCCCTAATTTTTAGGTTTGAGACAGTTGAGGGATCTTGGGGATGCTGTTTTCTGCAAGTTGCTAATTTTATGCGAATCTTGGTTCGAACCATAACATGGTCTATGAAGATTGCCCATTTCAGCGCTACGATAGTACTCTTCCAACTGACTAAGGTGCAATCAATCTGGTTGAAGTATTGGTTGTCCAGGGAGTTCCACGTGACTAGATGTTTTCTACGATGCCAGAAGTATTAGTAACAAAAAGCCCATGCTCTTCGGCATAACGAAGAAGACGTTCCTCATTGGCACTCCGGTTTCTGATGCCATATTTGCAAATTGTTGAGGTTATCGCAAATTATGACCTATGTGTGCATTCCAGTCTCTCCCGACTATGATCATGTCATCATGTTTTGGTAGAGACTTTGTTAGCGCAGTTGAAGTTCCGCATAGAACTTATCTTTATCCCAGTCATCTGCCGCCAGAGTTGGAGCATATACACTGATGACCGAGATATTGCAGAACTTACCCTTAAAACGGGCATAGGCCATACGGTTGCTTACGGGTTTCGACTCAATCAAAGCGGAAAGACCTTGGGCCTTGTCAGATATAACAATCGTTACGCCATTTCGTCCCGAGTTATTCGAAGCACCACAGTGATATAGCCAGTATTTCTGCTCTGAACCAGGATTAATAATTTCTCGAGACCCAAAGTGAGGAAGACGGACCTCTGACAAACAAGCGATATCCACACGATATTTAGAAAGGGTATGAACAGTGATCGCTTGACTTGCAACGTCAATAAGCATTCTGACGTTCCACGCTGATACGGCTAATGCCTCGCCGAGTGTGCAGAGGGCTGTCCCTTGATAGGTTTCCAGCAATTATCCTGCTTGCGAGCACATTTTATTTACCAGCCTTGGGATCGCTTTAAGCCCATACTGTACACTTATCGCATGTGCCACTGGACTGGGAGCATCATGAGCGTCGGGACACCCAGACGTCATATCAAGAATATCTGAATATCTGAATACCTTTCACCATAGAGTCACTTGGGAATAGAGTTACAGGTGAATCCCCAGCAATCACCCGGATTTTTGACATGTCAGGTTTACTCCTGTCAAAGACAGACAGACATAATTATTTTATATTTTACAATATTATTATAAATTTTATATATATATATGTATATATATATATATATATGTTTATTTTAATTCTTTGTTTGTTTGTTTTTTTTTAAATTTAGGAAAAAGTGAAAAAGAAGAAAAAAAGAAATAAAAAAAGATTTAGCTCCTAGTTCGAAGTTTATAGAAAATTCTAAAAAATATTCCAAAAAAAAATAATTGCAGCGGAATAACAATACTACTGCTCAAGATCAAACCATATTATTTTCTTTCGGTTTTCCATCTTAAGTTGGATTTTAATCTTGCTTTAATTTTATCGGCTAATTATGTGCCTTTTAATAATGCATTCTTGCATTATTGCATGGGATTTTTACATTTGAAGAGAAATAAGTTCATGTGGCTTTGTATATCTTTTTTTTGAGTTCTATCTGAAAAGCTATTAATCGATCATTCATATAATATAAGAAAGAAGAAAACAGCTAAAAAGTGCGTTCATTTTCTATCGTTTTTAAGGCAGGGAATATCCATTTTATTATTTTCGGATAGATTTCATTTTGATAGTTTCTTCGTTTTTTTTTTTGTCAATAAGTCCATCAAACTAAAAAGAAATGGAAAAAATTGCATGATTTTAGAATGTCAAGAGATTTATCACTCTATTTTTGAATTATTTTTGAATTTTTGAATTATTTCATTAAGTCAGTGATTTCAATAAAGAATAAAATGCCCGTCATGCAAATAAGTAATCAGCAATCACCTCTATTAGCACCTCTTGTAAATGATTATTTTCCGATAGTACTCTATAAATTCAAGATTTTCGATAATTGCATGTTTAGCTGTTCATTGCTAGGCATTTTCAATAAACAAGTTGGTCGAGAAATGTTTTTAGATATTTACTACAATATTTTATTTTAGATTAATTATGGAATAATTAAAAATTCAAAAACTAAAAAATAAATGATCGATTCATTGAAGGTAGTATTAAAATGTTAGAATGAAGAAAGCATATTTGGAGTGCATAAATTCTTTCATATGGCGTGTTCATATGAATAAATTGTAGCTGAAAAAATTAAAGACTGTGTCCGTTAGAAAAAAAGCTGAAGAAAAATTTTGCATAGATTTTTTCAAAAGATTTCAATGGGAAAAAACTAAGCAATAGTGAATATATATTTTTGCAGGGCGTATTTTAGAATTGGATTTGGATCAAATTGATATTATAGCAGATTCTTGGGAAGCTTTTAAAGACAAATACAAATGTTTATAACGCTTTTTCTTCGACTATTCATTGTGGGTTTCCTTTTCTCAATGATTTTGCTTAAAGAAAATTTCTAACTTTAGAAACAAAATTATCACGCTTTTTATGAGGATAACTTTAGATTTGAGAGAAAAAATCGCACTTTTATAACGAAAACTTTCAACTTATTATAAGAAAGAAAATTATATAAGAAAGACAGTTTTAGCATTGAGTTAATCGTATTTGCATTTAATGAAAATTTAATTAAAAGAAAGAAAATTTTCAAAAGTCTAGGCAGGCTTCATCTTTTATTTTATATAAACATCGCTATGGCATGAAAATCATCAGTTTCAACATTTTGGCCTTACGAATTTAACAGAAGATCAACTGAAGGAAAATCAAGTCTTTCGGCCGCATGTATGCAAATTTCAAAGATTTCTTGCAACAATTGTTGATTTGCTTCCAAATGCACGCCGAAATGATGAACTTGTACAAATCATCAGGTAAATCTATCACAAAATTCGTTTGTACCATATACTGTTTTAATTTTAAAAAACCTATACACACCATATTTTCATTTATATCATTGTTGTGATCTTAATATTACTGAGATTGCTCTCGTTTTTCACCTCTTGTAATGCTTTTTTTTCACAAATAAAATTCTGGCGATCTATATTAAGGATTAAAGCAATCAATGATAACAAAATTGAACAAGATCTCATACATTTTAGATTATAAATAGAACGTTCAAACTGGGTGCATACTCACATAATACTTCCAAATAATATCACGATATCTGGTCACATTTGGATGATTTTTTTTTTTGCTAGAGAGTTACTTGTGATAGAATTGTTAGTGAGCCCTTAGTACTACTGGGATTTTATTTTCAGTAACGGATTTATTACCATTAAGGAAGAGAAATCGAACTATTATGGCTTAATTCGAAATGGCATTTCATGCATTCTCCTTTGCAATTTCGAATACACAATCCTTTTTCAAAAGTTTAGCGAGACGATATCCATGCTCCTTTATTTATTAACTCCATTTCTAGAATCGTAGGGCGTCAACATTGTGAAATTAAAACAATGAGCTTTACTGCGGAAAAATGGTTGGCTTTCAAAAATGTTCTATCAGTATTAACCGAAAACACCGGCGAGGTTGAGTTTAATTTTATTTCACATTATTTTCTCACTATTTCACTTTATTTTAGATTTATGAATTTCGTGCGACTGACAAATGCTCACCAAACTCGCATTTTAAGTGAAAAATTATGAACATTTGCCACTAAATGATTGTTTGAAATAAATGTTAAAAGGTTTCTATTTGAAATCGCCAGATTAAATTCCAAATTAAATTTGGAATTCCGAATAACAATAATAATAAAGTAATAATAAAATTGACCACTTCTAAACAAAGAGATTTAAAAAAAAACAAGAAGATTTAAAAAAAGAAAGTTCATTTTATAAAAAAAGCTTATTGCTAAGCCTTTACGGGAATTAAGCGTTCTACTTTTTTTTTAAAAACTACTTTCGTTCAATATCACACTACTGCCAGTAATTGAAAAAGCCGAATTAAATTTAAGTCACTAAAAGTCGATTAAATTTAACTATTATCAAGAATAACAGGAAAAAAATAAGTTTTCCAAGGGCCATAATTCCGAGTAGTATTGTAGATCCCTGGATCCATTTATATTTCATGCCTCTTTTCTGACTAAAATATCTTATCCTAATACTCATGCATTATAAATTTTCATGCAATATCCTATTAGAGCAATCCTAGAAATGACACTTCGAAGAGAACAAAATTCGATAATAGGTGGGTGAAATTCATTTCGCACTAAGAATATAAGATGAAAAATCAAATGGAAAATAATTGTTTTCTTTTTTGCCAATTTTTCATAATTTTTTACGATTCACTGGATTATTCGGTTTTGAATTTAATAATTTTCCTAAGAATAGTTTTTGATGCAAAAACAATAGATAACAATTGATGAAAAAGGCTAGGTTTTTTCTTTGAGTTTTAATTGAAGGAATCGTACTATTTAATAAGATTTAATTTACGCTTTATTGTGATTAAAAAAAGGGCATAAAAGAAAAGAACTAAAAAATTTTATAAATGGGCAAAAAAAGGTTATTAAAATGTAAAAATTTCACTTTTTACCTTTTGCTTAAGAATAGGAATTTTATTGTGATGTGCATAAAAGTGCTATGGATAGGGTAGCAATATAGAAATATGAGTAAGGAAGCTAAGGTAATACTATTGAATACTATTGCAGACATGAATAATTTAAAGTAATACTGCAAAGGAAGGAGTAATAAATTTTGGAAAACTTTAAATATGAAATAAATCTGACCGATATGGATACATCATATATTGGCCAGAAACCTTTTGATAAATTCCATATTATTCCAAGATATAACTAAAATAGTTAATGAATCTTGCATAGAGAATCTTATGCTTTGCCATTTTTGCCATTGTTTTTGACTTGATTTGACAAATTTTAATTATTTATTTAATATTGAATAATATGCTTTGCTGATTGAATAATATGCGCTAATTGCCTGCCTGTTTATATTATTGGTCAGAAAAAATGGCGTTTGACCCGCAAAATTTCTTTAAAAATTCACAAGCAGGCGTCAGTAGACTGAAATGACTGTTCTTTTACTATTTCAGGGAAACGAATTCGAGTGTTGGAATCGACTAATTAGTTTCGTTATCTACGAAATGAAGGATGCATATTTGAATCACGTAAGTTTTCAGTTCATTTTCAAATGAAAATTGAAAATACCTAGAAAATTAAATATTAATTAAATATTAAATACCTAGAAAATTCGTATCTAGCAATTTAGTAAAAGTGATTTTTTTTATAATCTAATTAGTAAAATTAATAGCAAGTTTCAATTGAAAAAAAGCCGAATTCTGATCAGTAATAAGCAATAATTTTTTAATTTTCTAAATTTTCTCGTTTAGCTCCAAATTTTTTTGACGTAGTCACATTGCTCCATTTTTGGCGAATAATCTTCTCGTTTTAAACCGATACATCCTACTGGAAATAATACTATTTAATAAGTATGCTAACGACTGTTCCTTTTGAAAGATCTGTGATAAGATAAGCCTTTCGATTTTCATAAAGTGTGGATAAATTATGCTCGCTCTTGTAATTTTGTAAGTTAACGATTAAAACATAGATTCGTCATGTCCGTTCAAATTCTTGTCCACATGTCGCAGAAGCAGTATCTTATGACGACATTCATCGAATAATATCGAAGAATCGTACAATGAATCGTCTAAATGGGATCTGAAAATACTGTCTTGGACTTGGTTAAGAATTTAAAAAATAATCAATCAAATACGACCTAGACCTTAGAAAATTTTATTACTGCGTTAATTTTTTAATAGCAAAATTTATCGTACATACTTATACTTATACTTATACTTATATCATATCAATTACTAAAGATATGCTGATAAGAAGCAGTACATGCATTCAGCTTTGTTATCCCTTGTTGTTTAATTTCGTTAATTACGTTAGAACTTCAAGGTAAGGCAATTCATCTAACAAATCAAAGTGGCATAGGGAGCATTTATTTTTGTTCTTTTAGCATATTTCTCGTTCATTTGTTTCATATTATCTGGTATAGGGTATCGGCGTTTTCTGAGTTTAAAAAAATTTTGCGACATATTTCAAGGTATAGTACATTACATTCATAGCAAATTGTTATTTATCATAGATCCACAGCCTGACGGAACTAAAATATTATGTTTATGAGATGAGTGCGTAAAAATCATCAAATCATATTTCAAAATATTGTTGAAAAGAATTGTTAAATTGTTAAAAGAATAAGAATTAATAACAATCGCTTATCAACTTTTTATCATTTTATTTTCTTCACCCCAGTCATCTATCATTATCTATCATTCAAGTATCTATCATTCTGACGAAGTGGCTTATTTTAGAAATTAGTGCAGCTGGCTATACTAGAAATGATGAGTTAAAGGAAGACCACAATCAGCTAAGCTGGTAATCTTTCATAACCAGGGAGATATAAATATCAGAAAACTAGTTCTCACTAGTAAATTGCTTGAAAACTTCAACTAGAAAATTAAGGAAATTGTTCAAAGTGAAACATGTAAACAAATATATTTAACGTATCAAAAAAGAAGAGAAATAGATTTTGAATGAAATAATAGTGATTCTTGCTTCTTATCAATAAAATACGAAAATGAAACTGGAGTTCTTCAACATTGGCCACTGCGAATAAATTTATATCATCGTCCCTGAAAAATAGCCAATTTAAAAGAATAATATATTTTATTAGGCAAATAATGTTTAAAGATTGAAGATTTAAAGATGGAATTTTTTTCATTTCGACCAATTCCACTTGATGAAACAGTTTAAGGCTTTTGGTGAACTAGTTCTTCTTATTGATTCATTTTCGTCCATCTAATTAAACTTGTTCTTCACTGATTTTATAGTTCCAAAAAGAAGAAAATGCGAATATGACGGTTATATAATACTACCAATTGAAACATTGATTATTATTATTATTATTATTGTGCTTTAGAAGTCCCTGTGAAAATTGCTACTTTTAACTTTTCACATTCTTTATAGATTTACAAATGCGATTATTTACAGAATTGCTAATTTAAGGGTTGTTCAAGGATAACATTTGTTCGTGGCGAATATCCTCTAAACGAATATCCTCCAGGATCTGTCAAGAATAGATCAATATAAAGTTGAAGAATCACGGTTATTTAAAGATGAAGAATTGCTCAAAACCTGTAATGTCTGTATAATACGCGATATTTGACCAAGATCGAAACCATTCAGCAAACTATTGCCATGTGTCCCTCCAGAATTGATGCCTGAACCAACAAATGCAGATATGCCTCCAGAAATCATTTCTAAAATTGAAGGCTTATTAGCTAAATCGTCTCCATTTGGTTTTGCATTAATAACCGCTTCTGGAAAAAAGCCTCGATTTGACACAATCTGCTGCGAAATTGTTGTTGCGAGGAAAAACTGAGAATAAGGAAATGGGTTTGGTGTTACACCGCCATTTACACCTGAAGTCCTTGACTTGAAGAATGGAAGTATTTGTGATAGAGGTGATGGTCCTGAAAATGATGAAGAGCATCTAAATCTTCAGCAAAAATAACCAAAAAAATGATTTTAATTTTTGCACTATTTTATCGCTCAAATGTCGTTTTAACTGCGTTTAAATGAAAAATTCCAGATATGAGAGAAGAAAAGCTATGTGCTTGGTTATTGGTTATTGTTATCCTATTCTTACCTTCGATATAATGAAAAAGCTTTTATGGAATAATGAAAAAATATTTCGGTTAAAATAACTTTGTAGTTAAACATTAGCATTAAGCGTTACTTAAGCAGTGACGTATTGCGTGAAAACATTCGCTCATCGAACTGAACAAATTTCGATTTGTATCCGCCGTTCTGCAACCAGGGAACCAAAATTTCTCACAACGACGATTCTCGCTAAAGTAATTTATTTGAAATATTTGGAATAATTCTAAAAATATGAATCTTTATTACTCATAAATTCAAACAACAAAGCTGTTCTGTGCAATTTTAAGGCGACAAAGTGACGAATATATGCCGAAATGTAAGAATTTTAATAATTGCATGATTATGTTAATAATTCAACAATAGATAGTTTGCCATATTAAGTTAATTCAACTACGATTAGGAGCATCAAGGCCTTCGTTTATACGGCATATGGCATATATAAACGTAGCTTCAAAACCCTTTCTTCACTGATCTCTGAATGTGGGAGAAAGTAAAACAAAATTGCTAAATATATATATATATGAAAGAAAATGTAAGAAAACAAAAAGCATATAGAATTTTTACCGATTATATGCGACTTTTACAGTAAAACCACAAAATCTACCCTGCGGTTGTTCCATATCGCATATGTCTTGTTGCAATTTTAATTTCCGTTCCATAACACCCTCTTCTAATACAAATCTCTTTTAATCAATAATACATAATGAATTTACAACAATTACTTGTTATTCACGTATTCTCTATGAATTGAACTTGTCAAAATAGCTAAATAGCTTTTGATTCAAACCAGTTTTCATGACTAAATCAAAACTTAAAAATTATCTTTTTTATGTTTGAGACTAACAATTGGTTGCAAATGAGAAATGCCGAAATCTAAATTCTTAAAAAATTTTATTGATTTCCTTTTCAATCACTATCAAAAAGCTCACTTTTTACTATGTTTTCTGCAGTCGAAGAAATAATGGCGATTTTTTGTGATGGTTTATATTCCGTTGTTAAAGATATAGATATAGGAGGTATTCTTGAAGTTGCAATAGTTGAGTAAGTCTTGGCCACAATTGGAATTGGAATCCCATTGTTTGCAGCAGTTAAGCACTATAATTTCCCAATATTTTTTTGTTAAAACCTATATTACATTACAATTTCATAAAAAGAAAGTTACTTTCAGAAAGCAGGCTTAAGAGAGTGAAAACTACTGCTTTGAATGCCAATTTTTTTTGAAGATATTTTAAAAAGTGTATACCGATTCTGGAATATCTTCACATTGGTTGGCAGTCAGATCTTTGTATTTGTTTGATGGTCTCATGCACAATTGTCTTGGGAAATGGCAAACATATGGAGAACATTTATATGTCGCAACTGCTAATAATTTTCCATTCGATATAAAATCTTCACCTATTAAAATTTAAGTTTAATAAAAAAATTAAAATAGAAAAATTTTTTATAGGATTAAAAATAAGTGAACACAGAACTAAATAAACAAGAAAATAAAGAATAAAAGAGATAAATTTCATTAATATTACGGTGATTAATGATTCAATGATAGAAAAATTAAAAGATTTTTCCTTTAACATTGTCTCAGTCTGAAAATAAAGGTTGGAAGAATCCTAATTATTAACTTGACCTATTCCTATAATTTTACCACCAATAAGCAGATGCCTTGACCCTTGACCGTTTTTCTTCTACTTTTATGCAAAAATTTCTGGTTTAATTGATTTCATTCTTTAGGTCTTTTGGCCAAATCACTTGAAGATAGAAGTGCAAGTGCATCACCAGCGCTACCTTAATTCAGTGACTGATATTTTACTAAGGTCAACGGACATAAGCTTATGTTCTAACCTTAATATAATGTAATACTTAAAACATTTGATAGAATGTTGATGAAATTTGCTGAATTCGAGAGGATTTCCCGATTAATCCATCGTCAGTTCAAAACGATAATTTTACGACCTAACATTTGAAAAAGTATCTTATGGATTAAAACTATAATTCTATTTTGAAACTATATTTTGAAATGAAAAAATAAATTAAATAAAACTTCCATATAAAACTTCACTATGAAATTTTTTTCATTGCTTAAGAGAAAACTTGCCACAGATATTTAATGAGTTAGTGACCAGTGCTTATCGTTTTTGGTTAGGCCTATCATGGTTTAAAAATTTAGGAAGTTATTTGGCGACAGTTGCAAACAGCACTCGGGCTTAAAGATGATTAGGAAACAGATGCCGGTATGTTCTAAAATTAAGCGGATTAAAATTAAGCGGAGTGAATACACATTAGTTCTGTTTTTTTTTCGTTGAAAATGTTGAAAAACTGCTTGAAGGAAGTTTTCGTTAAAATCCTGTGTGCTAGAAATCCAAATTTTGCTTCTAAATAACATTCGCTTGACCATTTTACTTATTATATGAGAGGACCTATATTAGGTCACATAAAAATAAAAATCATTTGTTCTTTATTCCTAAAAATTTATTTAAGAGCTCCTTGTAATCATTTTTCTTCTTTAGCTTTAAGTTTGTCTTGAAGGCTTAAATTTGAATAAATCTTTAAACATATGCATGAAAGGATGAGCTTGAAGGTGCTTCTTAGGAATAATGCAATTAATGGATTTAAAGAGACGCAATAAAAGTAAGGAACTGAAAAGTAAAAAATTTAAAATTTAACTAATTCAATAAAAAAAGAATTCATTAGCAATTACATTAAAAACGAACATATTCAAGACATTTTTACAAATTAGGTTAGAACTTATTTTTCTTTGGCTAATGAATTTGACAATTTTATAATTCAAAATGGTTATTCATTGTTTTATTGTTATTCATTAAGCTCTATTGACAAAAATTTCAGTCAATCATCACCACTTAATTATCATTTACCAGATAAAAACAGTCAAACAAAATCCTTAGTTGAGATTAAAGTTAATATAGAAAATGCCAATTCTAAAATAGCAGAGTTCCAGAATTTACCTCAATCGGAATCACAATAGGCGAGTGGATAATAGCCCAGATTACTATACTGACAAGCAAGGTTCTTGCTCCTGCTCGCGGCAGAGTAAATCTATCGTAAAAATCCAGGTATCGGTGATAGATCTGCACTTTGTCGAATGGCACTTTCGCTTCAACCGCAAGGTTTAGCCTAACCAGAAATGGTGAATGCTAATCACTTACTTAGCTTAACTTAATTGGAATCTATTTGGGAAATTTTCCTTTTCTTTGAAAAACTTTACATCATTTTTGAACAAGATAAAACATGTTTCATCACGTAAAAAAGGGTTTAAGTTCATTAAATTGACTAACATTCGGGAGTTTCAAAGAGAAGTTCTTGAAAAGCGTCAAGTTGATCTGGTAATGCGAACACATTGGGCATGAATCGTTCACTGAAGATAGCATAAACGACGACAATGATGAACCGGCTACTCATCGCCCCCCATACGATGTGTTTCATCGTCGTATTGGCCATCCACGGATTCCCTTCTTTTCTACGAATATCCTGTTCTTTTCAAAATTTTCTTTTTCACAATCTATGCCAATCACAAAATAAATATATGAACGCCGACAAACAATCAATGATTTATACATACTTCAGTATAATTTAAAAAATATTGAGGACGCAAATTGGTTATTCATTAAATATTATAAGAATAACCAAAATGTCAAATGTTTATCACAACATAAGAATAAAAATTTGCGTTTTAGGTAGGCCATTAATTTGATGGTTAGCGCTAACCATTTTCTGATTGAATTCACTCCACTGCATATTAACTGCGCTTAGAAATATTTGTTAAGAGCCACCAGAAGATCGAAGTGCAGGTGGGTTGCTGATACTACTTGAAATAAACCAATAAAAAATATGCTGTTACTTGCAGAACTTTTTGGTGTTGTCCTCATCCAGTTTTGCAACAAACAAGTAGTTTCTCTTCGAATTCCCATTTCCGATGTTAATATAGCCTTTATTAATCTTTGCTAAACCTATGTTTTTGACAATTTGTTTTTCTTGCAAAAATAAGCCGTTGACAAACTTGAGCACAGTGGATAGAAAAATAAAGATCAGTGGATAGGTCCAGCAAAGAGTACGACATAGCAGCGGTTGTCTTCAAATTTCTCGATTATAATTATCTGCCTTCTTTTGTCTTTTGTTGCAATGAAAAAGCAAGTGGTTAGAATCGGCTAGTTCAGTTCCATGAAACTTTTCTTTCTTTATAATTTCTATTATGTTCCTTTCATCACAAGGATTATATATCGTTCATTATCAAGTAGTACAAGCTCAGCGTAGATTTTATAGTAAACAAATCCAATGGCCTGAAGTCCTAATATCTGTTTGTAGTTTAAGCTAAGAAGTCGTAACTTCTGAATTCTTTCTATTAATTAATTTCCATAAGCTTTAGGCCAATAAAACTCGTGGAGAAGATGGTCTTCGGACTGAGCTTTTCAAATATTGTCCATCGTCCTTCATAACGCAACTTCAACAAATGTATTCTTTAGTATGGAAAAAAGAAATATTATCAGATGATTGGAGCGAAGCAATTCTACTTCCAATTCTCAAGAAAGATGATGGGACATAAGGCGAAAATTATCGCCCTTACCCTTGTAGCCGTTGAAGCCAATCTAACCAGTAATGGTGAGATCTGTTAGAAGAAGAAGAATTACGGAAAGAAATAATTTCATAACGTGATTTGTGTGCCAGTAAATTGCGCCGGGCTTAAAGCTAGCGACCTAAATAAAGATTTTCGTGGTATTTGCACGGGATAATTTGGTTTTTTGATGCTTTTTATATTTAATCGAACCTATCTATTTATAGCAACAATTGTTCTCTCATAACTCTTGTTACTGTAGTGGTTTCTCCTTTTTTCCTTGCTTATACCTTCTTTTGCTTTCGTTTAAATATTGAATTTTTTGATCATGAACGATTTATTTATTCAAAATCGTTGTTCTCCATGACTTATTTTACTGAAAGTTTTATTCATTCAAATTCGAGGTTTACGCAACCGAACTGTATGATTGTCAGTAACTGGTATAATTATTTGAATTTAAAAAAAGTGTTTTTCGACAAAAAGAGAGAAATCAAACTGGGACAACATTAAAATAAATTCAATATTCTTTTTATCACATATTGCAAAACTCTCAACCAATTGACGTGGAGTGCATGCTCTTATAGAAGCAATCCTTGAGAATTCCAAGAAACTATTTATTAATTTTTACTTGACCATTCGATGTTAAGCTAAAAATCAAGTAATTAGAGGTCGCCTTCTGGGTAGATTTGTTCTATTGGTTGGTGGCACGGTTAGAAATACTTGTCAAGGAATCACCTGCCGATGGAAGTATAGGTGAATCGCCAGCATTACCAAATCCGAACCACCAGTAAGTGGTGATATTTTGTTTGGCTGTTGATGGTACTTCTTCGCCTAAATAAAAATAACTGGATAGATCATCAGAATATTTCTGCTTATTGCTTAATCTTAATGAAATTTTGTTCCCTTAGACATTTCAATATTACCTCCTTTGCCTGAGCTATATTTTTTTGAGAACAGATTGTATGACTAATTTTAATTTTTTGCTGCAATATTTCAAATTCTTGTTCTAGCTGTATAGTTTGAATACTGTATTATTTGACGTGTCTTTTCGTATCCTTTTTCAAGAGTATTCATCATTGATGGTTGAACTCGCTCCTCTTGCTAGTCGGACAATGCGGCGGTCTATTAGTGAAATCCTTCGGGGATTAGAACCTCAGCATCGGAGCTCCGAATTTACCCAGCCATTCTCTTCTTTAATTCTGCGTTAGCTGGAAGTGCGGTGCGTTGGCGGATTCAAACGTAAGCCTCAGTTCTCGGTGGCACTTATCTTGAGCCACCGACAACACCGATCGGTTCGAAAGTTATACCTTTTTAATAGACATGCACAATCTTGTTCTCTGCGCTGGTGCACGCAGATAAAATACTTTAATATCATTCTGCATGAGTTGCCACAATTCTGTCGATCGAATCAAAAGAAGTGGTAGCAAAGTCGCTTAAGCACGTAGCGTAATATTATGTTTTTGATGTCTGAAACAATATCCTTCTTAGCATAAAAATTGGCTCAGTACAGCTCTAAATCCAGTTTGATTAGGGTGCATTTTGCTATTCTATTCGGTAGAAGAGGAGCAAAAATTTTTTCTAAAATATTAAGTAAACTGATTCCTCAATACTGCATCCTATCACTTTTTTTAGGAATCGGAAATAAGATTGACTTGCTTCACTTATAAGTTTCCGGCACTCGGGTTTTCGGACAAGTTTGCTCCTGCTGGGAGTAGGATTTCATCATCGCCGCTCCGGATTCAGCAACTACCCATTGAGCCATTTCATTCTCCTTTAACTTTTCCGTTAGGTGAGGAAACCGCTCGACGGTAGTGCGTGTCGAGCATGAGTGGTGCGTCGGCTGATTCGAACCCTTTCTTCGACCCTCGGTAGAAGTTGTCTTGCCACTGAGCCATTACATTTTTTATAAATTTGTTTGAGAGTTTGCTTTGAATTTAGGGTTCAGATTGCGGCTTGGATTTGGCTGAGCTGTATTTTAATATTGGACAAATGAATTTGGAAAATTATTTATAAAATTTTTTTTGAAAAATTAGATTGTTGCTTTGGCGTATACCTTGATGTTGACGACCTAACTGTATTTTCATAGTCAAGTAACCTCTTTAGCTGGAATTTTCAGCCATAGTAACAGCTAGCAGGGCGAGCCAAACCAGAAATGGTGATTGCTACCAATTATTCATTTATATATCGCTTGATGCTCCTTTAAAACCACTTATTTTCCTTTAGCACCATTTCGAAATCTGTGTTTGTTTCCACGCTCATATTTCCCTTCTCACTTAAAACGTTCATTTACGCTTTATTTTTTCGTTACATTGATACATCAAAGTGAAGTCTTGTTGTAGAAAGGGATATAAGGAGGAACAATGCGAAATTAAAGAGGTATAATAGTACAAGATAACTTCAAAAAGTGTTGACTGTAAGGGATGACCGAGGGAGTTTGGGCTGTGAGCAGTCATAACAGGTTCAAATGAATTTGTTACTTCAATTTTTGCGATTCTTCGATCATGCAGCTCTTTACAGTTTTACGGCTTCCAATTGTACTGCAAGTTTGATGGGATGATAGGAGAAAAGAGGTGAGTTCGGGAGAATTAAAAAGGGGTTAAAAAGGGGTTAAGAATGAATCGAAATGTACTTTGGTGCCGACACTAAAGTCTCGCTTTTCGTTTTCATTTATGTGTTAAAATTGAATAGGAAGTCGAACCGATCCTTATTTTTTTGTTGTGATAGCATCGTCGCATCGTTTGTTGGAATTGTAGCTGCGTATTAGTCTAAATGCGAATTTAGAAGCTGGGTTTTAGTCTGGGTGCCAAACTACAATTTAACCGCAGTGATTTTCCTGATAAATTACGGCGAATTCTTGGGATATTATTGGGATGTAGTTCGGGGGGGGGGGGGGGTCGTCAACAAGTATGGTAGTCTTAAGAAATTTTGTAGGGTTGAATTATGGTAGGATTTTAATAGCTGTTTATTGAATGTTAATGTTAATATAACAAAAGTATTTGCTTTATGGTGTTTTAAAAAGGCATTATTAGGTTCAAGGGGACTTTGAGGATGCAGAGGGTTTTGGAATACGATTTTCGCTATGCCTATCCGTTATGAATTAGTTGCAAAAACGTTTTTAGTGGTGCTAGAATTGTTTTCTTTTAATTTGTTCTATCAATTTCAGCAGACGAATAATATGGAATATATCCAAGCAGTGGTCGATCCAAGCAAACAATTTGCTAAGGATTCTATTCGACTTGTGAAACGGTGCACAAAACCTGATAGAAAAGGTTCCAGCATTTTGTAGATATAGCTCTGTGTTTTAATATTTCATTTTATCTTTTCAAAATAAACAAAATTTCTTACGGAAAATGCGTTAAATGCCCCCATTTTGAATTCCATTCAGTTTAAAAAAAGAAGATAAAGAATTAATTAAAAGAAAAAAAAGTTTGTCCGGCAACAACCATATAAGATGTAAAAAAATTAAGGAACAACATTAAAATTTAGGAAATATAGGAAATAAATATAATAAACGGTGAATAATGCGATTGGCCAAGGTTGAATTATAAGTGGTTGTTGCACATTATTTCTAATTTCTCCCATTGGTTATTAGTATGGTTATGTATTGGCTAGGGAATCTTGGCGATGAGATTGAAAGCTGCTAGCACTAGCCGGATTTTTTAACAGCACGTAGTCCAGTGCTTATCAAAATCCTTCAAATGATCTTTTTCAAAGCCGAACCTTTTATTGATTTGATTTAATGATGAATTTTCAACATATACGTACAAGAGCTTGTGTTGCCAAAAGTTGGAGAGTATTGGAAAAGAGTTGAGTATATTTTGATGCATTGTTTGGTTACCTCTGATTCCTGGTGTTAGGAACTTGAGAAGGATAATCCACTGACTCTATATTTTATACTGATAGAGTCGTTCTAGTCGTCCTACGAATTCAGTCGATTTTATAAAATTGTTTGTTAGGATATGAAGACGCATGATTCTTTAAATGTATGAGTATTGAGTTCACATACGTTCTATGAAAAAGCCCATAGCTTTTCATTTTCTTTCTGTGGTCTCTGTGGTAAATCCATTTCTTCTATCTTGTTTCCCTAGGAGCTTTCTCTTAATTTTCAAGAAAACCCATAAATTTCATCAGACTGTCAAAATCGCTCAAAAAGAGTGGCTTTTATGCCACTGATTATTGTTTTACTTTTTTTTTTCTAAATAAATTTTCGACGAATATTTTTATCATAAAATGTGGAGATCGAAAATTTTCCCTAAAATTAGAGTTTGTTTTTTTTAGAGTATCAGAAAATAGCTATGGCAACGGCCGTTGGTTTTGCAGTTATGGGATTTATCGGTTTTTTCGTAAAGCTGATCCATATTCCAATCAACAATATTATTGTTGGAGGTTGAAATCGAGCATCATTTTCTTTGTACCGAAAGCTGTTCGATTTATTTTTTTAAATTTGTACTTTTATTTATTTATTTATTATCCTGTTTGTTTTGAAGTTCAAAGTAATGGTTATGATTATTTTATTTATGAATGTGTTATATTTTTATTTCATTTAAGTTTAAATAAGATTTTTTCAAAAGGAAATTGCATTTTCTCATTAATTTGTTTAATATTCATATTATTTTTACTGTTACTGGTTTTAATTTTGCAATCGTTTGGTTTTTTATATTTTAAAATGCGAAAAATGTCGCTTTATGCTTATTTTAACTTTAAAATAAATTTATTCTGTTACGAATATCGATAACACCGAAGTAGACATTGAAATAATCTGAAGAATTATTTTATTTCTTTTATATCGTAAATTTGCCGAAATTTGAGAACAATTACCAGGCAATGTTGATATATTTTTAATAATTTAATATTGATTGGCACTCATTTTTTTTCTTTTTCCATTTCGGTTTAAAATCTACATTGACTTAATTTTTTCTTTTAACGGCTCTCACCATTGCTGGTTAGGCTGGCTTCAACAGCTACAAGAGTAAGACGCTTCCAAGTGTTTGATGCCATCGTTAACAGTAAAAAGCCATTCCTTTTTCCAGTGTGTAAGTCCATTTATTATTGGTCCACCTATTCGTTCAAAATCTTTTCTGTCCATATCAGCCCAGGTCTTAATTGGCCCACATCGCTTTTGATGCCAACCATCACATGGTTTAGCAAATAACGAAATATGCGTCAAATCCTATGATGGACGACGGAGAAATGCCCTAACCGGCTAAGGCGACGATCTGTGATAACAGTATTAATGGAATTGGTATTTGAACAAAGGTGGATGCGATCATGTGATATTTTATCGGCTAGGCGGATCCTTAAATTGACTGACTTAATATAATAATGATATAATGATGAACAATAATGAACTAATAATTGGGTATAGGTACAACAATTTTTCAATAATGAACTAATAATTGGGTATAGGTACAACAATTTTTATGACGCATTTCTCGGCTATCTCTTAATTTTAACGTAGGTTATAACGAAAGAATCAATGAAAAATTTTTTTTGCGAAAACAGTGTGAAACTTTTAACGTTATGAAATTGTTAATTTTTAATTATTTAGAGATGGTTCCAGTGGTGCTTTGTTTCTCAGGGAAACGAAAATCCGGTAAAGATTTTTTGTGCCAAGAATTGGCTCGTCAGTTCAGAGAAATAGATCATTGTTCAGTTGTTGTACGTGGAATAAGTTTTCCATTAAAAGATGAATTTGCTAAAATTCATCAATTAGACAAAGATGCTTTGAAAACTGACGACACTTATAAAGAGATATATCGTTATGAAATGGTCAAGTGGGGTGAAGAAATCCGACGAAAGGATCCGACATATTTTTGCAAGTGAGCTACGTTTTTTCCATTCTTATTAAATGAGTGAGACGTGCTGATTTTATAATAAGATTATAATTGTCTAAATTTATCTAAATATATCTAAATTTATCTATTAACTACGACTCGGGGAACCATCAGTGAAATGGTAAGGGATAGCAATGGCGTGCCGATCAAGAGTATTAAGGACTGCCTCATGAGACGGAAAGAACTCTTTGAGGCCAAAGTTAACCATGAAGCGCCATCTGTTGCCCCTGATATAATTTATACGTTCGCTGAACCATATGCTTGCAAATGCGATCCCGGATAGAAGAAAAATAATTTCCGTTATCCATAACCATAAGACCAATAAGTCTCCAGGAGGTGATCTCTGGACTGACCTCCTTAAATGTTGTCCATCATCGTTCATAACTCAACTTCAACAAATGTATTCTTTAGTATGGAAAAAAGAAATATTATCAGATGATTGGAGCGAAGCAATTCTACTTCCAATTCTCAAGAAAGATGATGGGACATAAGGCGAAAATTATCGAGGAATCAGCATACTAGACGTCTCAGCAAAAATTTTTGCTTCCCTGCTACTCAACAGACTTATGGAAGTACAGAACAGCAGGATGCGCCCTAATCAAGCTGGTTTCATACCAGGGCGCGTGCTGACCAGATATTTACGTTAAGAAGGATGTTGGAACACCGCTTCAGATATTTGCAACCCACTGTCACGTGTTTCATTGACTTTGCGACTGCCTTTGATTCAATTGGTAGAGCGGCGCTTTGGAGGGTGATGGGGCGCGACGGTGTTCCCGAGAAGATCTTCGACTCATAAAGGCATTTTTTGAGCGCACGTCGGCGCAGGTCTGTGTGTATGGGGAACTGACAGACTCCTTAGAAATAAGAACTGAAGTCCATCAAAGTTGTGTTCTTTCCCTTACAATATGCGCTAGACTGGATAATGGAACCGCTTGTCGACACTCAAGAGGTGTCAAAATTGGTCCAGAGCATCGTATCACTGATCTTGAATACGCTGATAACTGATGATGTAGTGCTGACAGTTATGATGAAATGCAAATAATGCTAAATAACATGTCAGCAACTGCAGCAAATATAATTGAAACGCAAGGCTTTTCGTCTTATGTGCAAGAAGGTGATAAAATGTCTCTTTTTATAAATTCATTGTCGGTTGAGGAAATGCCCAATTTTAAATATCTTGGATCCACTCTAATACCAAATGGACAGGCAAAAGATGATATTACAACTCAGATCACGGTAGTTAGAAATGCGTTCTTCCGATTGACGAAACCTTTATGGTGCCGTCGTGAAATCACCATAAAAACGAAAGTTCGCATCTATATAGCCGTGATCCGTTCGATCTTGCTATATGGTTCTGAGACATGGCCAATGAGAGTGGAGGATATTAAGAAGTTATCTGCCTTTGACCACTCTTGTCTAAGGTCATATTATGGATCCGTCGAGCGGATAAAATATCACAAGATCGCATCCATCTTCGTTCAAACACCACTTGCATAAATAATGTTATCACAGACCATCGCCTTAGGGTACATTCTCCGTCGTTCACCATAGGATTTGACGCATATTTCGTTATTTGCTTATTTGTCTGATGGTTGGCTTCAAAAGCGAGGTAGGCCAATCAAGATCTGGACTGATACGGTGAGAAAAGATTTTGAACGTATAGGTAGACTAGTTATATATAGACTTATATATAGACTTAGACGATGGAAAAAGGAATGGCTTCCATTACTGTTGACGATGACATCAGACCGCGCCGCTTGGAAGCGTCTTACCCTTGTAGCCGTTGAAGCCAATCTAACCAGTAATGGTGAGATCTGTTAGAAGAAGAAGAATCTAAATTGTCTGAGCTTGTAATTTAATTAATTATTCCGAAATTGCAGATGCACTTTGATGAATATAGGAATTCCAGATGTTATTATTGTAAGTGATTGCAGAAGGCCGAGCGACATAGATTTTTTTAGGAAGGAATATGGTAAAAAACTGAGGCAAGTTTGTTTTTTTACTGCGCAACGGAAATAAAATTTCCCGCACTTTGAGGTTTTTCAGGAATAGCGATTTAAAGTGGTGGTCAAACCAGGAGTGCTTTTAAATGACCTCTGCATCGACTTCAGAGATCTGCTTATCAACTTATCTTTTTCATTCAAATTAAGTTAAAACACATTAATGGAATGAGGGCGAAGGAATATTTTCTTGATATTAATATTTATTTTTAAAAAATGAAGGTGTTTAATGAAGATATTTTTCACTAGATTGGTGCGTGTAGAATCGAATATGGATGTTCGTAATGCACGTGGTTTTCAATTCGTAAGCGGAATTGATGATGCGGAAACAGAATGTGCTCTTGATTCGTTCATGGAATGGGATTTCAGGATCCAAAACGATAATTCATCGAAGGATAGTGCTGTTCCTGCTTCTTTACAAAGCAGTTTGGAGGAAATTCGTAATGTTGTCAAATTAATGCTTGTAGTCTGAAAAAAGATTATGATTTAGATTAAAGAAAAATTATAGAAGGTGCTTGTTTACAATAGAAATTCTCTATTAATTTTTAGCATTTTGCTTCCTTCACTTCATTAAATTGGTTTATTTCGCATTTATTTCGCCATTCCTTTCCATCCAAATTATCTTTCTTATAATTGCTTACATTCTACGTTAAGTAAAAAATTAAATGTGGTGTATCGGGAAAAATATTTATCATTGAATACCTAACGGTATTCATCATTTATCGTTCAGAAAAATTGGTAAATAAATCTGTTGTTCCTTTAGATCTCTTTTCAATAAAGTTATTTCTTTGTTCATATTTACTTACAGTTTTATCAACATATGCTGATATTCAATGGTCGACACTATAATGATAGCAATAAACTGATAGAAAGAAAATATGTGGCACACTATGAATTTCGATCTCGATGTATTTCAAAAGAGATTAGGAGATGAATGAGAATAGAAATAAACATGAAAAGAATATCACATACGATTTGTCGAAAATGCTACATCTATTATCTAGAAAATTTAACAAATTTTAAAAAAAAAGCATATTTTTCAATTTATTTCCAAATTAATGAAAAGGTTTAGTGAAAAGGGATTTTACATAAGATTAACTTTGGTAAAAGGAAAAGCACATAGCCTTTCGTATTTTTTTTCAAAACCGGTCATATTCTGTATTTTGATAAAAATTAAGTCAAGAAAAGGTTTAAAATGGACTCAGTCGAAAGAATATTGCTTTGATGTGACAAGAGAATATCTTGGTGCCGGAAGGTTTTTCGCAGAAATCGATAACGCAAGCCAAGGCTTCGTGGGCAGTATTAGGAGTTTAAGAGATTAAGGGGTTTAGAAAGTTTAAGAGATTACACCAAAATGGAGATAGTATATAAAGTATATATAAAGGTGGGATCCACCGGTTAACATAATTTAAAGGAATTTAAAGACGTGTTAATATCAAGTGTTGTAAAAGAGTTAAGGGGATATATGGGGCTATAAGACGCAGTTCTAAATGAATTTGCCGAGCAGTGATGTTTTAGGGGCTAATATAATATAAGAGAGTTAAATGAAATCACGTACCCTTGATGAACAGTTGGTTTTAATTTTTTTCCATGCGGTTATTTAAGGAAGTATGTGTCATATATATTAAACGACTAAAGGTATGTAAGTATTATTGGGTGGAACTGGTGCATGGATATGGGTGGGTGGGTTTTATGAGCTTATTATGCGTTTGGTGGGCAGATGTGGGAATCTTGGTGTACCTATTCGTGTTAAGGAGAGTGTGAGGCTGATTGTGGTCAGTGATAATGTTATAAAGTGAATGCTAATTTCCAAACTGCTAGAGGGCATTCCTTCACCAATTTTCTATAAAATATTCTCTTAGACCCATATACCGTAAGGGACATAATTGTGTTTTTTACCTTTTTGTTGCTGCTCGCTTATTTCAGATCGTTCCATTGTTTGTAATTATTTTCTGTTCGTTTATTTCTAACTGGAATAAATTTTGCAATTTATTTTATGTGTTATCGCAGTCAAGTTACTGGGAAAACGCGATAGAAAATTAGCGGTCGTGTAAATAAACGAACGATGTTATTCAGCTATTAGCTGGCTATTATCTAAGATTAGGCCGCAAACGAAAGATTAAGCTTATGCAGCAGCAAATAACAAAATATTATCGCCAGATGGAACAAGTAATAAGCCCTGGTGAAAGCTACATAGACGGCTCCAGAAATAGTGCTTAGAAATAGCCTAACTTTACATCGTTTCATTCGACATCTAAACCAGATTATTTCCAATGGTTTTTCATCATTTTCATGGAAGCAAATTTGCACATGTTCTTAACAAACCATTTTCTTCTTCTTTTTCTTCTAACAGCTCTCACCATTACTGGTTAGGCTGGCTCCAACGGCTGCACGGGGAAGACGCTTCCAAGCGGTCTGATGCCATCGTCAACGGAAGTAATGGAAGCCATTCCTTTTTCCATCGTCTAAGTCTATATACAACTAGTCCACCCATACGTTCAAAATCTTTTCTCACCGTATCAGTCCAGGTCTTGATTGGCCCACCTCGCTTTTGACGTCAACAATCACACGGTTTAGCAAATAAGAAATATGCGTCAACTTCTGTGGTGAACGACGGAGAATGTACCCTAACCAGCGAAGGCGACGCTCTGTGATAACATTATTTATGCAAGTGGTGTTTCGACGCTCTGTGATAACATTATTTATGCAAGTTGTGTTTGAACGAAGATGGATGCGATCTTGTGATATTTTATCCGCTCGACGGATCCATAATATGTACCTTAGATAAGAGTGGTCAAAGGCAGATAACTTCTTAATATCTTCCACTCTCATTGGCTATGTTTCAGAACCATATAGTTTGATCGAACGGATCACAGCAATATAGATCACAGCAATATAGATGTGGACTTTTGTTTTTATGGTGATTTCACGACGATTCCATAAAGGTTTCGTCAACCGGAAGAACGCATTTCTAGCTTGGTGATCCGAGTTGCAATATCATCTTTTACCTGTCCATTTGGTATTAGAGTGGACCCAAGGTATTTGAAATCGGGCACTTCGTCAATCGACAATGAATTTACAAAAAGAGGTATTTTAGTGCCGTTTATAAGCATATTAATAATCTTGCATCAAAACTAGAAGACAACTCACTTTTGAGATCATCAATTTTATTTTATGCTGGAATAGCAACATTCAAGCCAAATTACGTGTAAGTCAGGCGAAGCGATTTAAGAATGGCGCATTTGATATCACCAATCTGCGATTTACTTAAAGAATCTCTAGAAGAAATTATCCGCTCTAGATTCATGTTCAGTCAAAAATGAAGGTATTAAAAACCCTATTTATTTAAGTATAAGTGTATAAGTACCAAAGATGGCATTGACGAAGGCTTACATAGTTGATGTTGCTCAAGAGCTTGAGGATAATTTTTTCCGCAGCTGTTCAAGAAACTGTCTACATATCAGAAAATTTTCAAAACTTTAACGGTGCATAAGGTGTTAAATAAAGAAGTATATCTTTATGAAGACAGACAAATCGGGATGCTTCTCGAATATGGAAAAAGTGGTCATTTGGGGTTATTTGGTGCCCACTGTCCACTTTTACATACCCATTTAAAAATGCTATTCATGTAAACATGTGGATTATTTATCCAACGTTTGCAAAAAAAAAGAAGCCTCATCGACCACATAAAGATGATCATTTCTTTGCACCATCGAGTCTGGAGATCAAAAGGATTTGAGTCAAGTTTGTCAACGATGAACTCAATGACCAGGTGTTAAATTTGATGTCGACATAAGCGCTGTTGAAACCTTCATCTCTGAAGAAATTTGGAGATCACTGGATAAACCTGGATGTTTTATATCCATTACAAGACAGTTTGAGATTCATCGATAAACAACACTGTAATAAGCAATTTAAAAAAGCATTTCTACCCTTTAACATCGCCTTCCATACTTTACTGCCTATTTAAGTCGAAGTTGGGAATCCGAATAGACGATCGGAAACTTTGGTCTTACAGAGAATAAGGTTTTTGATAAGAATTTGAGGCTAGATCACTATAAATATGTGGATGGAGCTCCCAAATATATTCAAGCTGGAAGTGGGATGCTTGAAGAATTTTGAGCTGGAAATATAGCTCAAACCAAACGCCAACCAAAATTTTTCAAATGAATTTTCTTTACGTTTCTCTACTCAAGAAAATTTGGTCGAACCTTATGAAGCAGAGATTAAAAAAGAGACTTTCAATGAATGTGGTGCTCCTATCGTACTAATCAAAAATCCATTACTTTCATATCTCTGCCATTGCAAATGTTATTTCACAAAAATCGATTTGGCCGATACTTATAACCAGGTTTCATTAGAGTCGATTTTACTTTGAGCACTCATCAAGAAGTACTGCCAAAGAAAAGGCTGCTTTTCGAAAATTTTATCTAATCTTTCAACCATGCTGCAGTCACTCTATCAATTCATAAAAAAACAAGTCTTGAGAAGCAGAATAGAAAATAACGTATAAAAATTCAGTTCTGACCCACTTTAATAAATCGCTTCCTCCTAGAATAGCATTTGAAGTTGAGATTGGAGCAATGCTATTTCAGCCAGATGAAGCAAACCCTATCGCTAACTTCTCAAAGGATCAGATCCAAAGAAAACTCCTGCGATTATCTTTGCGCTACAGAATTTTCATTATTTTATATTGGTAATGGATTGCAAATCCTCATAAGCTTTGTTTGAACCTAAGATTACTATTCCTTCTCTGGCTGAAAATCGGTTAAACATGTGGCTATTCAATGGAGCACCGTAAAACAATTTATTATTGACATATAAAATGCATTTGGTCGCTTACTAGCAAAATCAAAATACCAGTTCGATGTTGAAGAAAATGGTGAAAATATGGACACAATGAACATGGTGAAAACGATTAGCAGTTAAACCAGGGACTCGAAAATCCTGGTGAATGAATCATCAAAAGACCCCGTTATTTCAACGCTTATGCACTTCACTAGACACGGTTGGTCAAGTTAGTTGTAAATTGATAGATTTTAAATTTTTTTTTTCTTTTTTCCTCAAAGAAATTAGACGCCATTAAAGCCGCAGTTCATTAGGATCTTCTAATGCTCCATTTACACATTTACCAAGGAACTTTAACATTCTTCAATCCATCAAGCTCTGCGCATTGTTTTGCGAAAACTTTAGCATACTTTGCACTGTTTCAACTCTATGAAATTTTGCCTTGACATTATTGAAGTCCTTTAACATCCCTTAATATTTCACATTCTATAAAAAAACTTCTCAAATCAGTACATCGCATCCAAACAAATACAACTACTCTTTTAATACCTCTAAAACTTACTTGTTATAATGTATTGCTGACATCAGTTATGTAGAAACCCTCTCTTTCGATTGTTTCAGCCCTCATAAACTCATCTATACCATACCACTCGTCTCACTTTGTTCCTTTAACTCTCCATCAAA